AGGGGAACTTGATGAAGATGATGATGAAGAGGAAGTTGGCACCCATGTTACAGAGAACTTCCAACATGCCGAACCCCGTGCACAATGCTTTAAATACATTATCTTGTTTTATGCTGACTGCAGTCTGTGAGATAGGGAACATCACTGATTCTGACTTCAAAATGAAGAAAGTGAAGCTCCGAGAGATTGGTAATATATTCAAGTCTATCCAGCTAATAAGAGCAGAGCTTGAATTTGAATCCAGCATTGGCTTCAAAGCCTGTGTCCCTAACCATTACACACACTGCCTCTTATGTTAATGCTCCTTCTGGAAGGCTACTTTGGATTGGGGTGACATTATGTGGGGTATTAGGTTCTATTGAAATGACTGGTATTTGTTTCCCGTCCTTGCTGCCCGTGAATATGCTGCTTCCTTCTTGGATGAATGTGAACTTGTCAATGAGGTTCATAAAGCAATCCTAAGGGCCTTTATTAACTAAGAGTCAGAAGCCCGAAGTTAGCAGCAATAAATGCATATATTAAGAAATTAGAAAGATCTCAAATAAATAACCCAAATTTACATCTCAAGGAACTAGAAGAAGAACAAACCAAGAGTCAGAAAAACTAATAACAATAGTTATTCCCGGGAGCTGAAATTTGCAAGGGAATCTCCTTTCTAAGTTTTACAATTTTACAATATTTGGGTTTTATTTTGAAACAATAGTCATGGATAAAATTAGAAAAGAATAGCAACAAATATTGTTAAATTTGTAAAAAGAAAAGCTGGACTTTGGATGCTTGTTCTGGCTCTGTTAACTAGCGGTCAAACCTCTTAACCTCAGCTGCCTCGTGTGTGAATTGAAGGATTGGACCATCTTCAAGCTTCCTTCCAGCTTTCACATGCTCTGATTGTAAACCCAAGTTCACAACTACTCAGACAGAATGAAACTTCCCGTCTGCCTGGATTCTGGCACCTGCTATGGAATTTCCGGTCTTCCCATTGCAACACGGGCATGTCTTGTCTTGCTTGTATCCTTCTTTATGTACTTATTTTTTTCCTTACTAGTGGATGAGTTGTACAGAAACTTGTTATAATGAATCATTTCAACAGCTAAGGCAGTGAGTCCACAGAGTTTGGGGGAAACTCCACTTCAGATCTATGACTTTCACAATTAACTCGGATCTCCATGCCTAGTTATCTTATTACATCTTGAATGTGTGCCACTGACCTGGATTGAACCATTTTTCAGAATTAAAAATAGATAGCTATCATCTCTCAACTGGCTTGCTTTGTGCCAGGCATTGTGCTAAGGGATTTGCATATGTGATCTCATTTGATCCTCACTCACAAAAACCCTGCGAGTGATGTGCTGTTATTATCCTCATCCTCGTCGTACAGTCAGAAAACCAAGGCTTAGAGAGGTGAAGTAATTCACTATTATTTGCCTTTGAACTTCGCTGGGATTTCTGTTTTAGTTATCTATTGCTGTGTAACAAACCACCACAAAATTCAGTGGCTTAAAACAACCACCGTTGCATTACCTCTATGGGTTGACCGGGCTCCGCTGGTCCGTTCTCGTTTGGGGTCTCTTGGGTGGCTGCTAGGCTCAAGCAGGACTCTGGGACACCTGAGCTTCCCTCCCTCTTCATATAGTCTCGCGTCTGCCTATGTGGCATCTCTGTGTGGCATCCACACACGGTCTCTTCACACGTCCTTTCCACAGGGTAGGTTGGACTTCTTACGAGGCTACTCAAGGCTTCCAAAAGCACACAGCAGGCCTTCTTAATGGCTAGGCTCCGAAATCCTAGAACGTCACCTCCACTGCATTCCTTTGGTTAAGGCAAGTCATATAGCCAGGCCATGTTCTACTGGGAGGGGCCGCATATGGGTGGGAGTACAGGAAGCATAGTTCATTGGGGGCATTTTGGGAGACTTCCCTCTGCAAATCATAAATGACATTGAGTTGGCTAGACACTTGGGAAATGAGGACCTCTGGACTACTACAGAAGAAGATGAAGTAGGAGAAATCGGGAAGTAAGGAGGTAGAAAGGAAATGGATGATACTGACCAGCAGGGCATATAAAAAGAAACGAGAAGGATATTGCAGAGTGTTGAAATATAGTGTTGAATTTAATGTAAAAAACCTAAGGGCAAAGCAGAATAACCAAATAATCTTGAAAAAGAAGAACAAAGTTGGAGAACTCACACTTCCTGATTTAAAAACTCACTGCAAAGCTACAGTAATCAAGACAGTGTGGTCCTGGAACAGCCACATGCAAAAGAATGGAGTTGGACTGCTTCCTCACAGTGCACACAAAAATTAACTCAAAATGGATCACAGACCTAAACGCAAGACATAAAACTCTTAGAATAAAACCTAAGAATAAGTCTTCATGAACTTGTCTTAAGCAAAGCCTTCCTAGGTACAACACCTAAGGCACATCGACAAGAGAAAAAATCAATAAATTGCACTTCATAACTTTAAAGGAGTGAAGTGGGATTTTCTTTTACAAAAGTAATAAAAAAATGCTTATTAAACAAACAAAACAAACAAGAGCCTGTTTGTGGAAGAAGGCTTTTTCACACACTGTTGGTGGCAAAATGTTGGCTCAGCCTTTTTGCCAGAGCTAATATACTAAGAGCTAATAAGAGAAAATACGATGAACTAATAGATAGAGTACTTACTCTCTGTTGGGCATTATTCTAGGTGTTTCATACATCTAAACTCACTTAGTACTCACCAGCACCCTATGGGGCAGGTACTATTCTTGTCCCCATTCTACAGACAAGGAAAATAAAGCATTGAGAGAGAAGTAACTTACCTGAGATCACACAGCTAATAAGTACAGGAGAAGGATTTGAACCCAGACAGTCTGGCTCCAGGGCCCATGCTGTCAGCCACTGTGCACACTGCCTCACCCCGTATGCCTGTCCTTTGACCCAACCATTCCACATCTAAGAATTTATCTTCCAAAAATCCTGGCACATGAGTCCAAAGATAGCGCATTCAGAATATTCACCATGGAATGGTGGCAATAGAGGAAAATTGGAAACAACTTAAATATCCATTAAAAGGCCATTAGTTAAATAAACTATACATCGTTCATTTATACGATGAAATGTAGTTAAAAACAATGAGCTTGATCTCTGTTCCGATGTGGGAAGCTAGTCATGACAAAAATGCTTTGCAAAACTGTATTTTATATATAATAATCCTACTTTAGCAAAACAAAATACTCATTATTTGTGTACAAGTGTGTAGATGCCCTGAATGCTAAGTCATCACCTCTAGGAAATGAGATTAGGAGGAATGAAAAGAAGACTTTCACTTCTTACTTTATATATTTGTTTGTTCTTTAAATTTTGAACAAAAACATAATTAAAGAAACGTAATTCTTTTTTAGAAATAAAGAATCTGAAAGACTATTCACAAATTGTGTGTTGTGACGAGTTGTGAACAGGCCCTTCTCTCCCTGAAGGATCTCACGGCTTCACCTCTTACCAGGCGTCCTGGCCCCAGCCCGGACTTTCCATTCGTGTCCCATTGATTGTCCTGTGGTTCCCAAACCATCTTCTCTCGTTCACCTCTCTCCTCTCTAATTGGAGGACCTTTCCGCACTGACTCACCTGGTTGCCTTCTATCCATCCCTCAGGGCCAAGTTTATGAGTCACTTCCTCTGAGAAGCCTTCCCCCACCCCTAAGCCAGGATTAGGGACACCTGGATTCTCCTGCAGAGCCCTGTGTTTACCATTTTTGCTGCAGTTAGCCTGAATGGCAATTTTCCTTTTTCCTTGGTTTCTACAATAGACCCCATGGGATCGGGGCTATGTTTTTCATTGTGTTTCTACTGTGCCTGGTACAGAGCTGGTGCCTAATAAATATTCCCTGAAAGGGAGGATGAATGAATGAATGAATCTTTACAAGGAATAAAATACTGACCCCTACCCACTCCCCCTATATCATCATTGTAGGCTGAATATAGATTATGCCCATATGTGAGCCCATCTGTTTATTCTACTCTATCTCAACCTGTACATATATATATAATTTAGTGCCCCAGCTTCATGGATGAACTCTGAAATTCTTGTGTTTAGTTTTAATGCTCTTTTGTTCCCATCTTGACATGCTTAATACTTTTTTTTTGGAAGATTAGCCCTGAGCTAACATCTGCTGCCAATCCTCCTCTTTTTTTGCTGAGGAAGACTGGCCCTGAGCTAACCTCCGTGCCCATCTCCCTCTACTTTATATGTGGGATGCCTACCACAGCATGGCATGCCAAGTGGTGCCATGTCCGCACCCAGGATCCGAACCGGCAAACCCTGGGCTGCTGAAGCAGAATGTGCGCACTTAACCGCTGGGCCACCGGGCTGGCCCTTCTTAATACATTTTGAACAAGGGATCTTGCAGTTTCGTTTTGCACCTGGCCCTGCAAATTATGTAGCTGGTCCTGAAGCCATTCATGCACTCGCTGTGATGATGGGGTCTTGAGTCATATTGGAAACGTCTGGATTAGAAGGCCCAGAGGGCAAGCAAGGTGAGATCATGCATTGCAGTGTGGCCAGCTCCCCACCTTGCTGTAGAATCTTAAACAATTGGCTCAGCCCCTTGTGTCCAGACTTATAATCCTGTCTAACCAGCCCCTGCACTCTGGTGACTCCAGATACCGTCTTAACCATTTCAGTTTCAATAAAGGGTAAGGAAACCCATCCTGAGAATAGACCTGACCTTAAATTTTTGCACTGTCAGCACCAATAGAAAGTACCTCTTATTTCTTCCATACGATTCGTATAGACTACGTGGCCTAATATCCCTGCTAGCTTTTGTGTGACTTTTCCTGAAAGACCCTGAGCAAGAGGAGAAAACATTTTCTAAATCGATTACATTTTTCCACTTCAGGTAGTTTAAACAGCGTCTTGCCGAAAAAGCTGTACTCCTCTTCCTTACAGTTTCTGAAGAACACTTCTTAAGATGATTTCTTTTTGTCACATTGTATGAATTTAAAACGGGAAGCAAAATGAGAGTCAAGACTGTCTTTGGGTTTTTGTTTGATTTTTCTTTCTTTTTGTTTGTTCTTGCTGGTTTTTAGTGAGAACGTCTGCCTGTTTTCTTTGGAGGGTAAAGTTTTAAGAAGTCTTTTAACACAGGGTCATACACAGGACACGGATTTTCTTCAGGAACTCATTTTTATTAAGATGAAGCAAGAAAGGAGCAGCCCAGGAAAGAATTCAAGCTAAGAATAGAATTCAAAGCAGAAGTGCGGGTTTTCACAGATTTCTACGAGGAGGACATATGTTCCTTGACGCTGATCGGAATGCTTACTTTTGCTCCTTCCCAAGCAGCTGGGGAGCAGGCGGCTTTAGGTGGTGACAATGCAGCAGCTACTTAGCGGCTCTGAACCCCAGGGGAAGTTGCTTCCATGCCTCAGTTTCTTTATGTGTAAGATGTGTTAATACAATAAGTCATAATATCGAGTACTTACTGCCAGACACTGCGCTTAATTCTTTACATGCACTTATTCATGCAGTCAAATATTTATTGAGCACCTGCTGTGTACAGGCCTTCTTCTAGGCCCTGGGGGTACCACAGTGAACAAGGTCTCTATGCTTCAGGATCCTACCTTCATTGAATCCACCCAACGATCTCTTGAAGTCAACATTATTGTTACCCCGGTTGGACAGGTGAGGAAATTGAAGCTAAAAGTGGTTAAATAAAACCTTCTCCCCAGATCACACTTCTAGTAAGAGGTTAGGCTAGGATTCAAACTTAGGTTCATCAGACTTTCTACAGCCCCTACTTTTCATCACTAGGCAATGCAAAGTGCCTCTGAAAAAGGAAATAAGGACAGCTGAAGGGGTGTTCTGAGGCCAAAGAACTAAAAGTTGGTAAGGTCCTTAAGTGCAGAGAGTACACTGGAAATTTGACAAAGTGTAAATAAAGGAGCTGAGAACAACTTTCACCACTTCGTGGCTTGAGAATAGAGCTAAGATTGGTTTGAAATCTTTCTTCCTAATCTAGGGCAGGGCTGCCTATCATTTCATAGAATCATCTAGTTCTGAGGGCTCCAGGTATATGTTTGGGAACTTATGTGCATAAGGACACTTAGCCTTCTTGCCCTTTCATGTTTGTACAGAATCCTGCAATAAGAGGGAAATACTGATGTTTGCAGAGAACAGGTCTAGAAACTATATTCATTGAAAAGGCGGAGGTCATTAACCTCCCTGCCTGCACCCCGCCCCCAAAAGACTTTGCTGTCACACAAGGGTTGACTAACGACGCTCCAGCTAAAAGGGACACTAGCACAGTGCCTGGCACAGAACATGAATTCAGTAAAGACATGGAGAATGAATGAATGAATAACTTCAACTCATAGTCACGTAACAAGCAGTCAAAAGCTATAATGCCAGACTCAGCACTTCCCTAAGGCTAACGGGATTTTTTCAAGCAGTCGGCTCCCACTGGAAAAATCAGGGCAGGTAAACATAGCCCTCAGCACCTTCTTTGAAATGTAAAGACTTGCAGAAAAATTCGGAGTCTGAAGAAGGTCAGATCGAACTGTTTTGCAGTCATTCTTCTCCGGCAACTGAGAAGTCAACAATGTAAGGGGGCCCCATGAAGACGAAAATCATCGGGATCAGGACCTCCCAATCTAAAGAGCCTCACTCAGCTTGAAATAAAATTATTGACTTACTCCAGTTTCTATTTCCCGAGACAAGTAACGATTGAAGGTCGGAAGACAGGAAATACTGATAAGTTATTAACTTCACTAACTTCCCCAGAGAGAGAACATAACTGGTTTAAACATTGGTATGTATTTACTCAGCTGTTCAAAATTACACAGGAGCCGAGCTCTTCCTAACCCCCCGCCCCAACACATACATGCCCCACTCCGTGCATATATCATCCCCGTCATTGTAATCAGATTATATAAATGCAACCTACTCACTTCTCAATTGGAACCTTTCAAAAAGGCACAGTAACCTGAGTTTCACATCCAACAGTGAGGAGGATACAGCTAAGAAAGGGTGGCATTTTCAAAGCCCCTCCCCCTTAGCACAAATTCTTTCCAAGTCGCCAATCTGTCCTCCTCGCTTTAGTGTGTCTGCCTTTTTTAGTGCCATTCAGCACGTTTGGAGATCCCACTGGACATCAGGCTAGCTTTGGAAGCTATTTGTTACACTGGTGCAACTCCTGTGACAGAGGCTCGAAACTGGCATCTCTTCCGGCCGCCGTGTCTTGGAGCGTCCTGGACGCTTGGGTCTCAGACTGCCGATTTTGAGCTTGGCGTAGAATTTGGGGAACAAAGGACTTGAAAAATAATACACCAGGGGGTCCAGCATGCTGTTCATGTAGGTGAAGCTCAGGGTAACGTGGAGGGCTATGTGGACAGACGGATCGCAGGCGCTCAAGGGCACCGTCCAGAGGAAGTACAGTCTGGCTGACACGCTGGGCAGGTAGCACGTGACAAATACCGCTGCCACCACCATGATGAACCGGGTGGCCTTCTTCATCCGCGTCTGCCTGGCTAGGTGCTGTCTCTGCTTCAGGCTCCAAATAATCTTGAAGGAGCAAAACAAGATGATGCCGAGGGGCAGGAAGAATTCCAGCTGAAACATGACGTCGTGCCAGCCATTGGCTGACTCCATGATGAAGCTCTCACAAGATACAGTCTCCCCTTGCACACACAGATGTTTCTCCATCAAAAGATACAGAGTCCCCAGGATGATCATGGTCCAAAGGGCACAGACGATGCCAGCCGCAGTCCGGTTGGAGATGGTGTTCATCATATGGTGGGGGTGGACCACTTTGAAATACCTGTCCACAGCCACCACCGTGAGGAAGACGATGCTCCCAGCCCTGTTCGTGGCCATCATGAAGAGCACCACCCGACAGGGAATATCCTCAAAGGCCCACTGTCTATGCCTGAGGTAATAGTCTGTCCGAAAGGGCAGGCAGACCATGAGAAGGAAGTCGGCCACTGCCAAGTTGAAAAGGTAAATAGTGCTCGGCTTCCAGGTCTTCATGTGAAAGCAGAAACCATACAGGGCAATGCCATTGCCCAGGGCGCCAAGAACAAAGGCCAGGATCAGCAGTGGTGGCATCACCTGAGGGATGGGGTCCCCCTCGATGAGGCAGCACGACTCGTTGTCCATAGTGGACACAGGACAAGTGCTCTGTGTGCCAGGCTGTAGAGTCCCCGCAAAGACACAGATGCTTATCTGAATGCTACTGCTCACACAGCTGCTGTTCTACCAACTTCTTCACTCCAGGATGCAGGTGCTGCACGTGTGGGTGGATGCAGGCGCTCCACGGAGAACAGCAACTTCAGCTGGGAAACGAGTGATTCAGGGAAGTCCTTTCTCTGGAGCCTGGGTCACAAGCTGCCTGTGTCCCTGGGAGCCGAAGCCTGGAGCACCTCCAGGCTTTGAAACTCATGAAATTACGCCCAAGTGATCATTTCTGGGAAGCATCTGGCAGCTCCGATGCGATTCATACTGGAGGGGAGTTGTGGGGTCCAGCCCCAGAATGGTTCTTGTTTGCAGCCTCACGCCTTCTCCTCAGACTCACTCTGTGCTGGAGAGCGCGCAGAGCTGCCCAGAAGGCAGGAGAAAAGCTTGTTTGTCTTCCCTCCCAGAGGAGAAATACAAACACTTCCTGGGGCCGTTCTGGGCCTCTGCTTCTGCTTTCCTCCCTAACCTTTGCCTGACCGCCCTGTCCTCTCCTTGTCCCAGGGGGCACTCCCAGGCCGTGCCAGTGGGGAGGCTCTGTTCTCCAGTCCTCAGAACCATTTCCTCTACCCACATCCAGAAATACAGCACTCAAAAATCAGAAGGGTCTGCGGAGGAAAAAAGCTCTGAAAACGGCACTTGTTGGTTGTTAGAAAAATTCCTTGAAGCACGTTGCCTTTCCTGCCTCCATTCGCAGCTCTGACCCTTTGCATCCTTCCATGGACCCAAGTAAGTGACCAGTTGCACAACCAGCAAGACCATGAAATGGATCTGAAGCCACTTCTCATGGATCTGTCTCCACAAGACAGGCTCTTTGGGACCCAGTTCCTCCCTCGGCTGTTTGCAAAAGAGGACTTGGCTCTGAGTTTCGCACTGGCTGTTCAAAAAAGCCAAACATGATGATCTATGTTTTTAATTTTAATTAAAATTAATTCAGTACAATCAATTAATGCTGAGCTCATTGATGGGGGCAAATGAAGGTCGGGGAGGTTGGTCAAGGAGTCTGTCTCTAAAATAATCATAGATAAAAATAGACTGCACCAAAGACGGACTCTTTGCTAAAATTTCCTCTCCTTTGGCTTCAGAGATGACCTATCTGCCCTGCGCCTTTCAGCTCCCAGCTGAGGAAAGGGGAGGGGGAGCATTGAAAGAACACAGGCGCCTGCTTCCAGATGCCAACTAAAGCTAAATTCTCCCCACTGAAGCCTGGACTCCAAATCAGCCCAACACCACCCCCAACTGCCCTCACCCTGCATGACCGCTGTCACCCCCCACCTGTTGAAAGTGTTGAAAGAGTTTCCTAAGTGGTTTCCTTTCCTCTAGTCCCTTCCCTGTAATTCCTCTCCCACACTACAATGTGGTTTTTCTAAGGCACAGATATGATCATATCCTTTTTCCTTACTTAAAAACTTTCATTAGTTCTCTTCAATGTCAAGGTATTAGACTGTATGGCCTGTGGGGCATATCTGGTTCAAAAACCAGTTTGGTTTAACAACCTGGGACCAATCTATAAAAACCTGGATTTCCAGGATCTCTTGGAAAACTGGAAGATCTGGCCACACTGGGTCAACAATCCCACATAGTAACAATCAGCCGGAGCTGAGGGAAGCTGCCTCCTTTAGTCAGGGCAAGAACTCTCCATTTTGCCACAGTCCTCACCACTCCCTACTGCATGGTCAGCTTCATTCCTTCACATGCCTGGTCTCTGTGGGATTTTGAGTTTGGCACCTTGGCTCTGGGTTAAAGGTCGCATTGCTTGGATTGGTATACAAGGTCCTTCACAGATGGTTCCCAAAGTACCTTTCCAAGATCACTCTCCTGCCACTTTCCTTCTCATATCCTACTTGTTGGTCTCATAACTTCTAATAAATAGCGGTGTCCATCAGACATCTATGTTTAGCTCCCCCACTAATCTAAGACGTCCTTGGAGACAAAGTTCATGTTCTGCAGGAGGGACATAGGGTAAGGATCTAGGTGACAAACTTCTAAGTTTCATGAGAGCGGATAGCAGCCACTTTCACTCTGGGGGCCCCTGTGATTCTGTGAGAAGACACGAACTAACAGGAGGTAACTAATATAGGCTGTAACGCTCCTGTAGGATAACACTCCAGGGAGGTAACTCCAAATACCTTAATATGATCAGACAGAATTTTTCAACAAGTGGAAAATACTCTTCCTTCTGTGTCAGCAGATGCTGTCAAGATTCTTGTAGGGGCTGGCCCCGTGGCCGAGTGGTTAAGTTCGTGTGCTCCGCTGTAGGCGGCCCAGTGTTTCGTTGGTTCGAATCCTGGGCGCGACATGGCACTGCTCATCAAACCACGCTGAGGCAGCGTCCCACATGCCACAACTAGAAGGATCCACAACGAAGAATATACAACTATGTACCGGGGGGCTTTGGGGAGAAAAAAGGAAAAAAGAAAATCTTTAAAAAAAAAAAGATTCTTGTACACACAAGTGCTTCCCTTTTCCCAAGCATGACGAGCACTTGCTTTTTTTTTCCACATTCTTTCTGTCTTGTTAAATCAATTTCTTCTTCCTTTTTGACTGTAGAATTAGCTGGAAAGCTGAAGATTAAGAAAGAAAAGATAGATTTCTCTTTCTCTGAAGGCCTACCGTTGCCTGTGTGAGGGCAGGAGGTATATGGGAAATCTCTGTATCTTCCCCTCAATTTTATTGTAAACCTAAAACTGCTCTAAGAAAAATAGTCATAAAAACAATTTTAAACCAAATTTTATTACTGATCTTATGTTTACTCCTAGCTACTAATTACAGTGCCTGCTGCAAAATAGAGGGTTTATTGATTTTAAAATGTTTTTAATGTATTTAAAATGATTTTAAAATGTATTTAATGAACCTCCAAGGTGTTTTTGCTAGATGCTCTAGGATCCACCAAAAAAGGAAGATATTATCTGCTGAGTGTTTAGTACGGGAAATAAGACAAGCACATAAATAACAACGAGGGACCAGCCCTGTGGCCGAGTGGTTAAGTTCGTGTGCTCCACTTCCGCAGCCCAGGGTTACACCAGTTCGGATCCTGGGCGCGGACGTGGCACTGCTCATCAAGCCATGCTGAGGCGGCGTCCCACATAGCAGATCTAGAAGGGCCTACAATTAGAATATACAGCTATGTACTGGGGGAGCTTTGGGGAGAAGAAGAAGAAGAAAGAGGACAGGAAGAAGAAAGATTGGCAACAGATGTTAGCTCAGGTGCCAATCTTTGAAAAACATAATAAAAATAAAGAAAAACAAATAGAATCAGCAATTTAAGGCAGTATTTTCCAAAATGTGGTAGACACACCGCAGATAATGTGTGAGATGATTTTAGGTGCTATGGAGTAATATAGACGTGGATTTTGACTTTATGACTTTATTTTAAAACGTGTTCAAAAAAAAAATGAAGCTGGCCCACCAGAGTTTTGTGAAGGAGGGAGAGTTAAAATTTCTAGGGGCAGAAGTAGAAGGAACAGACAGTCCAGATAAAATGAAGAGCACGAAGAAGTCAGGCTGGAGGGGGCATCTGAGGAAGCTTCAAGGAATCTGGAATTTGGAGGCTATGTCATGGGACCATAAGGAATCAAATAGGCGTGTCTAGTGGGGCTCTTTTGCAGGGGACCTTGAACTCAGTGGCAGTTGGGAGACATTTTTGAGTGAGTGGCATTGTAAAGGGTTGGAGGGATAGTTGAAAAAGAGAGAAGGGAAGCAACAGGCTTTGGTTCCCCCTCCCGTTCTCCGGCCTGCCCTGGAGCCACAGTACTCCCGTTCTCACCTGCTAATTCTGCAGGCTCAGAGCCCTTGTCTTCTTTTTCTAAATTGTTCCATGGTGAGCCATAGAGGGGATAGTATCGATATCCATATCAACATTATCACTTAAGAAAAGTTTCTCATCGTCTTCCTCAGATTGCACATTAGACAAAGGGAACTGTCAGCTCCATCCACCAAATAGCTCAAGCCGTAAGCTTCCTTTCCTCTCCTCCTTTGCTCACCACAATCCCCTATCTGTTGGTCACGTGCCCTTGATAAATAAATGAAAAGCAATAGGATATATTGGAGTATATGAGGAAGCCCTTTGGTTTAAACTAATTTGGGCTCACGTTGCTTTTCCAAAAGGGCCTGACATGGCCTGTTGAGCATGCATTGTACATCTGCTTTAAATATTTACTATGTCCCAAAGACAAGAATGATGCCCTTAAAGATAGCGAAGTAACTTCCCCTCATATTGGCATTTCTTTAAGGATAAGCATCCCTTCCTGGGAACTCAGAATTAATTACTGACCTGCTGTGCTCACCTTGTGACCACCGACCTGCTGACCACTGATCTGCTGTGCCAGCTAAGCATCTCGTGACAATTGTAAATGGGACATGGCTATCATATGTGATGTATGTTCTTTGTTCCAAGATGGTATATAACCACTCTGTACACCCCACTTCTTTGGTGCCCTTCCTTCCTTGGGGAAGGAAGGCCCCAGGCTATCCCTCAGATCTGGCTCATAATAAACTCACTCCAATTTTGATTTATAGATTGATTATGGATTATTTGCATCAACACCCTAAATCTCTGTCTACTCACAGTGCTACCACTTTGGCTGGTCCATAGTTCTGGAGGAATACAACCACCTCCTGATTGGTCCTCCTTCAATCCGTTCTCCAAAGCTCAAATCTGGTAATGTTACTCCCCTGCTCGAATGCTCCCGTAGCTTTCTCTTGTCCTTAGCAGGGAATTCAGGATGGACAAGACACCACGGGAACTGGCCTCGACACCTCCAACATGAGCCATAACTGTGTTTAATATCCAAAGACTGTCTTATAGGGACCACTGGGGACATACTTCCTTCCCTCCCAATCCTGGATATCTCCTTTTTTCTTGGCCTGAGCCCAGACCAGTATCTTCCAATAGAACTTTCTACAATAATGGAAATGTCCTGTAATATACTTGTAGCTATTGAGCACTTGAAATGGGGTTAGTGGGAACTGAATTTTCAATGTCATTTAATTTTAGTAATTTAAAATTTAAAAGCCACACGTAGTTTGTGGCTACCGTACGGGAAGCCCACGGGACACCACTTCTTCCAGCTTCCAAGCCTTCTATGAATCTCCTTCTCTAGTCTGTGTTAGACGCTCTTCTCTGCACCACTTCTGTCACCCCTCACTTACCATGCAGTACTGTAATGGTTTACTCGTGTGTAGGCGGGGGCGGGGGGGTTTGAAAGAACTTGTGAACACACCTGCCAGGCTGATCCGGTGTGAGCTTGGGGCTCTTGGGCCCTGCCGTGCCACCTCTTCCGCTGTTTTATGAGAACATTTCACTTTATATACAATGGGGGAGGAAGTAGACATTCTTGCGGGGGCCGCCTAGTAGGTGGCATGAGAAGGAACTGTCTATGTGGCAGTGTGTTGGAAAGACACACTCCTTCTGTACAATTCTCCTTTACTCCCATACTACTACCACACTTACAATAATTTTGATGCCAGATGTGTGGGATGTTTTTCCCACACCAAGCAAGTCTCTGTGACACCAGTTGGATGTCCTATAATTCACTTCAATTCTGACACTAACTTGAGTTAAAGGCTCAGTCCCATGAGACTGTCCCCGACTTCAGATGCCAATTGCAAGTTCTGGGTCCAAAGGTTACCCACAACTTCTATCCGACTTGGCTACAATTTGACGTGCGTATGACCCACCCCTTCTCAGATTCGAACATGTGCTAGAACAGCTCACAAAACTCAGACTTGTTTACCAGTTTATTACATAATAAAAGATGTGATAAAGGACGCAGATGAACAGTTAGATGAAGAGGTACATAAGGTGAGGTCTGGAAGGGTTCGGAGCACAGGAGCTTCTGTCCCCATGGAGTTGAGTTGTGTCACCCTCTTGGTTCGTGAATGTGTTCACCAACCCAGAAGCTCC